CTGAGATCGCCCACACACGAGTGCACGGGCGGCGCATCTTCTCCTTGCTGCACCAGCGTGAGCCCTGGGGTGCTGCTATCCGCTGCTGGCACCACCGCACCGCGTTCCACCAGCTTTTGCACCCACAGTGCTGCCCTTTGCTCGCGCTGCTGCTGGTTGCTGGTCACCCGCCCCGCCAGCATGTGGGCGCGGTTCTGGATGTTGCGGGGCACTGTCTTTGTCAGCAGCGCCAGCAGCAGCTCGTGCAGCGTCAGCTGCGCCCTGCGCTCCAGGTCGGTGTACTTGATGAGGCCAAAATTGCGCTCCCCGAGGTTGTTTGTGTTGCACTGCAGGTCCAGCACGTCCAGCCGCCCCCACCACGCCCACTTCTCGGCGCACGGCACCCAGCTGCTGTGCATGCGCTGCGCCACCGGGAGGTGCTGCTGGCTGTTGCTCAAGATGAAGAAGGCCAGCTGCAGGGCGCAGGGCAGTGGCGCATGCAAGTAGTGCGTGGGTGAGCAGTTGTAGATTGCTGGCCATGCGCTGCGTTGCTGCCCACCTCTTGTTTGAACGGCGCTTGGTCTTGCATGTGGGCTAGGCGAGCCAGCGCCAGCATGATGCGGTGCCGCTCAGCCTTAGGCACACCCGCGTCGCCGCTGCTGAGGAAGCGTTCCCAATCTTGCAGGAAGTGGAAGTAGCCGAGCAGGTATCCTTCGGCATGCCAGGTGGACACCAGCTGGTCCACCGCTGCAATCTCCGTCTTCGACTTGTCGATCATGATGGACTTGTACTTGAAGGTGCCATCCCCTGCCGCCTGTGCCTGCTCATTGGTGGTTTGGGAGGCGGGGGTGACAGCATGAGGGCAGCAGGGCAGGCAGCGGGGCTGGCAGCGGACTGGTGCCTGCCCAGCGCATCCCTCTATCCTCTGGCACTCACCCCTTCCATCGATGTGCGCAGGAAGTGCTCCACCACCTCCGCCGTATCCGAGCTGCACACCATGAAGCTGACCGGCACCCCGCGCCCGCTCTCATCTTGCACCTGCAAGTACCAGGATCAGGTGAGGGTGCTACAGCCCTGGTGCGCGCCGGTGTGGCTGCATACACAACCCAGCCTGGCTGCTAGGCTGCTAGGCTGCAGGCTCACCACCAACGCGTAGAGTGGGTAGCCGTATTTGTTGACGCCAAACGTGGCGTCCATGAACACCAGCCGCCGCCCAAACTGGTCCAGCATGCGCGCCTGGAAGGACACTTGCATCACAGACTTTGTTGTTCGAGCAAGGAGGGATGAAGCAGTAGAACAACAGGCAGGACAGGCCAACTGACAGGTCACCGAGCGTTTAGTGTGTGAGCGGGCAGACAGTACTGCATGTCGTGGAGCAGGTGTGGTGCGGTAAGAGCAAAGGGGGTGGACATGAGAGTGGGGGTTCAGGGCGGGACTGCAGGCAGCGCAACGGTGGCGGTCAGCCAGCGCTGGTGACAGGCGGCAGCAAAGGCGGCGAGGCGGCACGGTTTCTGGCGGAGGAAGCGGTGGGGAGGATGGGGCTCAGCAAACAGGTCAGGAAAGTTGAGGCGCAGCGGGGCGTAAAGGGGGCAGGTGAGCAGCATGTGGGGGGCATCTTCAATGCCGTCGTGGCAGTGGGGGCAGACTCGCTGCTCTTGGGGGCGCCGCGTCCAGCGGCCGGTCTCTTCCGCGCCCCAATGCGACCCGGTGCGCAGCTGCGCCAGCGCCTCGCGGTCCTGCCGACGCCGTACTGCATCCAGGTAGGTCTCGCGCTGCCCAAAC